ACCTTAGCCCTATAACATGTCCTCCTATTGACCTCCAAATTATGCTTTTCTTTCACCTCCGCCATAATATGATCTGGGGCCCATTCTGGATTGATCCTGAATCTTGGAAGCAGATCAGATGCTATCCACTTTGCAGTTACCTTATTAACTCGAAGAGACCTTGCACAACTATGAGAGAGATCAACCTTTCTAATCATGAAACACATGTCCTTTCTAAACCAACTAGCATAAAGCTTCCACTTACAATTAGAAGCCTTACATTTCACCTCTCTTCTAGTTTGGGTACTCCTCGTCCATCTCAAATTTTCCCCAGAAGCTACTGCATGTTTAACAACCCCCTCCTTAAATTATTCTGGACTCTCAAACTTCATACGACATACGAGCTGTAAAACCTTATGATCACAAGCAGGATCATAATGAGGTGCATCATCATAAAGTTCAGCAGGCTCTTCATCAGACAAATTGCGTCGCACGTGGTCAGAATCTTCAGATCCTCTATAACTTGAGTTGGATCCTTCTTCTACTTGCTGAGTTTGTGGAAAATGTTGTTCAAGAGGCTCACCCTCATTAACGGGGTTTGGATTTTCGTTAGCACGGACCGCCTCGTCTTCGAAGTGACCTTCCTCCCCTTGGGAATCTGAGTCATCCCCATCAAACTCGTCAAGTTGTTCCACCTCTTCCCCAGAACGGTACACCCTTGTATGGACCTTCCTCTTCCTCGCCATTCCATATGCTCGTAAATTGGCCCTGGCTTCATGATATTCATCATTGGAAGTCATCGCATCGTCAGATTCATACGACTGGTGCTTATCTAGTGCAGCATGATTTTCTACCTTGTATACCGCCGTTGTGGCTTCCTCTATTGCTGTCATGGCTTCATATTCAGCACCAAGCGGCTCTGGGTCATTCTCATCTACCATAGCATTGGCAGTTGCCTCAACGAAGAGTGATATGGCCTTAACTTCAGCTGCCGCAACCAGTAAACCTTCAATAACGTCCTTGTCTAAAGTGATTTGGTGAAGACCAACTTCCATACCAGCTCTCGAATCCAAATACCACATTCTTTCCACGGTTGTATAATGAAATGTTTCACGACATACGGCAACAAGCTCAAAGTAGGAGATTAAATCCATATCAAGGAACACCACCTCACTCGACTCACCAACGTAAAACGGTATGTCCCCAGAGAAGTTCATAATCCCCCCATGATGGAATTGAATATCTAAATAGTTTGCCATCTGTGTCATAAACAATTGTAAAAGTAACATCAATTTCCACTAAAGCCAACTACAAGACAAAAGCATATTGATGGCTTGAATACAACATGTGACAACTTGTAATAAACAAATCCAAGAACTTGGATTCTTTCACCTAATTTGACAAATGTATCCAAAAGATTTAGATGCTTACTCTGTGGTTGAAAGGGCAATATCGTGACAAAGATGATTTCTGTGGTCCCCTCACCAGCTTTCTAGTAGCACTTTCCTCAGTTTTGCACTTGAATGGAGCTATAAAAAAGAGGGTAAATCAGCACCCATAAACACAAGACCGACAATAGATAAAGCTTTGAAAAAAAAATAGCAACGTTGATGAAGAAGCAGGGATGAAAACTCACCGCAACTGAAATAGAGAAAACTAGGGCAATGTTAATTTGATAGCCAGCGGGATTATGGCTCTCTACACAGCAATCTAGAGGGTCTAGCCGTCAAATCGGGTTGCGTTGGCCAGACTAGAATCCCGTTAGGTCGCCGTCAATTAGATGGAGAACCGTCGACTGCGGCATCGGAGATGGGGATGATGAGAATATGGGTTTTTTTGGAGCTTCACGGCTGTGTTGGTTCACGACAATTGGTCTCCCACGGTTCGATTCTCTGACCTCCGACGGAGAATTCGATAGAAAAGCAAATTCGGATTCTGGTCGAGTGGGGATCGTAAATGAGTTTGAAAGGGGTGGCTGAATGAGTCTCTGTACGTGACCTTTGGCTTCCCTTACAATTTTTCTTTTATATTTAAATTAAATTAAATGGATGTAAATCCAACATGGAAAATAAACTATAAAAATTGCCATGACAGCACATCTCGTTAGTCTAGTCAACAAAGTTAACCGGTCTGTTAAAATAAAAAGAATTTATACAAGGAATGGCTAGATTTGTCATTATTAAAAGTTGTGGCTATAACTGTCACAGGAGTGAAAGGTTTGGCTATATGAATGTATTTCGCCTATTTAATATGTTGCTTTATAATGTTTGTAGGTTTCAATGGTATATATCCTACTGTTCGTGATTCTTGGAAGGACTTACAGTTCAATACACCAGATGATGCATATAATTTCTATGTAGATTATGGGAATCATGAAGGTTTTGGTGTGAGGACTTATAACCAATCAGCATGTCTGAAGCTCAATGGTGGTTCTTCAGCTGTCTATTATATAAAGTATTGTTGCAATAAGGAAGGTTGGAGAAAAGGTAGCGAGAATAACCCTGATAATGTAGGTCTTGTTGATACGAAGGTTCGTGTTCATAATGTTCCAGAACTCAGGGGTGGATGTAATGGTGCTTATATACGACTGAGTTGGTTTGAAGAGTTGAAATGCTACAAGATATATCGTTGGTATAATGTGCACAACCATGACATGATTCATGAGTCTCTGCATCACTACGTGAGATCCAGCAGACAAATGGCTCCTGTGTACAAGATGTTGGCAGAGGTGAATGATGCTGCTGGTATTGGTGTGACTTCTTCGTATAATGCAATTAGTAGGACTGGTGGTGGTCGGAATTTTGTTGGGTTTACAAAGAATGATTTGAAGAACCATCTACGAACTGTGAGGACATTATCAATGGAGTATGGTAATGCGTCTGCATTGCTTGCATACTTTAGACGTCAAGCACAGATGGATCCTGGGTTCTTTCATGAGGTGGAGGTTGATGTTGAAGAGAACACTGCTAGTATTTTTTGGGCAGATGGGAACATGCGGATGGATTTTCATTATTTTGGTGATTCAATTAGTTTTGATACTACTTACCGGACTAACAAGAGTATCGACCATTAGGTATGTTTTCTAGTTTGTTGTTTATTATTGTCTTTGTGAGTTTGTATGATTATTTTTATCATTATGTATCATGATTCTATGAGGTGGTGTTTGCGTTGTTAGAAGTCCGTAGCATATGGTATGGGTTAGTATTGATTAGTGTTTTGTTCTTAGAAGTCGTTACCATATGGTACGAGGTGGTATTATTTTTATTTGTACCTTCTACCACGTGGTACGTGTTGGTAGAATTGTTTTTACTCACATTTTTTTTATGTTTTTGTAGCTTTGTTTGTTGGTTTCAACCATCATCACCAACTCACTGTCTTTGCGGGTGCTCTTCTATATGATGAAACAATAGCAACATTTGAATGACTTTTCGATCAGTTTTTGAAATGCATGGGAGTTGTGAGACCCTCATCAATGTTTACTAATCAGCCTGCTGCAATTGCTGCTGGTATAAGGTCTGTTTTCCCATATTGTTTTCATGGGCTGTGTACATGGCATATTGCTCAGAATGCAGTTGTTAATCTGGGAAGTTTGTGTGACTCTGATTTTCTTAGTGAACTTAGTTATTTGATGTATAATGCTGATGATGAGGATGATTTTGAGAATAATTGGAAGAAGATGGTTGAGAGTGTTTTCTTGGGAAGGGACCTTTGGGACACAGTTGGTTACAGGGCATTTACAAAGTCAGGAAGAAGTGGTCTTCAGCTTGGGTGAATTGTTATTTTGGTGCAGGAATGAAGAGTACCCAACTAAGTGACTGCTGCAATAGTAATATTCGACATTACTTGCAGTCAGATTTTAGCGTTACTAAATTCTGTGTCCACTTTGAGAGGATGCTTGATAATAAGAGGGATTCTGAAGAACAAGAAGAGTACTATGCGTTATCTACGTTGGCTGATTCTCGGTTTTCTACTTGTCCTATTGTGAAGCAAGTTGCTAATGTGTATACGCCGAAGATATTCAAGTTTTTCCGGGATGAGTACAAGGAATATCTTGTGTATAATATTTTTTTCAAATATGGAGATAGAACCAGAAGGACATGTAGGAATGTTTGATGTCTTCATATTGGAGGATGACCTTACAAGGTTAGATAGTAGGGTGTTGAAGGTTGATTTTGATAATGGTGAAATCAAGTGTTTCTGCCGTAAGTGGGAGTCAAGTGGTTTGATCTGTAAGCATCAAATGAGGGTATATGATATATTATGGTCTACAACATGCAATCTGAAGTTCCAGCACATTCCTAGTAGTTTGATTTTGAAGCGGTGGACAATAGCAGAAAAAACTGGAGGGAACTTTTGTTTTGAAGTTCCGTCTACTGATAGTCCAGCAAAATACTAGTCCCGTCTGTTCAATCTGTCAGTTGTTTCTGCATCAATGATCAACAGGATTTCGTTGGATGATGATTTGTATAAATCAGTCGTGGCCTTCATGACTGATTTGATCAAAAAGTGTGAAGTCCTACCAATTATTGAACTTGCTAGAACAAGCACGTCTTCTAACTATGACAGTAAGTTTTTTATTGTTTAGAGTTTGTGTTTTGATATATGCAATGTTTGAGGAGGATGATTTTATATATATATATATATATATATATATATGGTTCAGGCTAGCGTACACCTGACGTACGACGTACACCTCCGTCCACACCTATTAATTTTTATTATTAATTATAAGTAAATCAATAATTAATAATAATTACAATTACAATCATACCTATTAATTTATTTTTCAATACTATTTAGTACCACATGATTGTTTACTGTCTTTCTGCTTGAATCAATCATGTTAGTTTTCAAGTTAACAATTATAGTACCTTCTTGCTTCTTATCATCATATATAACACCTAAATTTCTTGTAAAAATAAAGAACTACAATTGTTATTTTAAATTAATTCGTTGTATAATTTGATGCAGATAAGAGTGCTCTCCCAAGAAAGAAGAAACTATCAGGTCATACTCTCTCGTCTCCAACCCCAAACAAATCATTCCTCTCTCTCTTACAAACCTTTAATCCTCTTCTATCCTAAACAAATCAATCGCGACCAGGGAAGCTATTTGCAAACAGGGTGGCCCATGAGCTCTAATCTCTGACGGGATGGAACAACCTCACGATGGCGATCGGCGCTAATCTCTGGCGGAGAACCAGGGTCTGAATGACCCTGGGTTTCCAAAACGAGGTTGATTTAGTATTCATATATGGTGGGAGACGAACCAACCGACGGAAGATGAGACGGAGACCTCCAATCCTCATCAGAAGTGAGAGATGGTTAGTCTCCTTTCTCCTTCTTGGTCATCCTTTAACTTATCTCCCCCGATTCCGAATGACGCACCAACGTTTCTTTATGATCTACATTCTCCACATCCCCTTCTTAGCGGCAGCCCCACACCCCGAGCAGGTAAGGTAAGTCTCAATCTCTTTCTTCCATACCGCTCTTCTTCCTCCGTTCTGGGCATTTTTCCGATTCCGCTATTGCTGCTTTGTTCTTGAGGAAGTGAACTGCCTTGTAGAGAGCAAAACTTGGGTTATTATGGGATTGCAACATTACTATTGGTTTGTTTTATTTTCTCGAGATTCAATTTCATCCCTTGGGTTAGTTTCTTTTGTTGCATGTTGGTATATCTCTTTTCGATGATTGAATTGGGGGAGGATTTGAATTCAACAGATGAACCATGAAGCGGCCTATCCTGTGTGATATTATATCCAATGAATATCATAGATCAGATGCAGAAAAAAAGGGTGAGGAAGATGATGGTAATTATTAATTTTGATAATTTGCTCATTCAATTTCAGGGCGCTCAACGTTGCTGCACAGGCTTCGCCCCTGTTCTCAGGAACCCAGAAAATCTGGCTATTCTTCCCCAAAAATCAGAAATCGAACAGGCATCAGCATAAATTCTCCTTCCTACAATTGCATCGGCAAATTAATTCTTCGGCGGCGGCGATTAGGAGAGGTTTTCGAGAAAGAGAACTAGTGGAAGAGGGAAGAGGGAAGAGCGGAGCTCGATGAATTCGTCGTCCGGTCTCCGGCACGGATGGATTCTTGCTACCGGTCGACGACCTTGGAGCATACGAAGCAGAGTTTCGACTTCACTGGCAGCGGCCCCAATCCGAGAGGCCCTGCTGCTTCTTGACCAAAGCTGGAGTCGGAGATTGGACAGAGATTCTTCATACTAGATGTCGAAACGACAAAGCGACGAGTGTTGTGGCGTGTTTTAAAAGAAATCCGACTAGTGAGAGTTGCAGCGAGAGATTGGACTGGACGGAGATTCTTCATCACACACCACCGGCGTCGATCAGTTGAGGGAAGTAGAAGGAAGACAAAACGACAAAACAGGAATTATAGAGTTTGGGCGTGTTAACAAAAAAAAGAATTTGAAGTTGTATACTTGTATATGATTATAAAGTTTGGGTGTTCTAAATTTATAATTTGAAAAAGGTACTATTATATATATGATTGTGAGTTAAGGGACTAATATGAACACAATGTATGATAAATTTTATATGGGACTAAAACGTGAACAATAGGTAATGAATGGTTATAATTGCAATTGTATTTATTATTAATAATTACCTTAATTATAAATAAATTAAAAATTATTAATTAATAGGTGTGAACACAGGCGTACAATGTACACCTAGTGTACGCTAGCCTTTGCCATATATATATATATATATATATATATATATATATATAATATCATTGATTGTAGTTTCTTTTTGTTATCTTGGTATAGATGATGTACCGGTCTGAAAAGTTAAGGGGTTTAAGCCTAAAAAAGATTCTTTCAAGCCTTCGAAACGACCAATTCCAGTTGCGGAGACTACAAGGGCTGTAAGTAAGAAGAAGAGAAAAACTAGCAGGCTTGAGGAGGAAAATTTGAAGGTTGTTGAAGAAAGTTTGAGGCTGATGCTGTGATAGTTGTTTAATTTGTTGAATCACAGTTTTCATAGAGGATTATGTGAATGAACGGTTGAAGCTGGTTGAGTTGTTGAACCTATTTTGTTCTTTCATATTTGTTTTGGTTTTCATGTCCTTTCTTTCACATCTTGCTACTTAACACAATCATAATAGAAGTTTCATGTCCTTTCTTTCACATCTTCATCTTGTTCTTCATATTGCAGTACTTTGTTGAAGCTTTCATGATCATGTCCCGTTCAAGATTGTCTGCATCAAGAATGATGTCCAACATTAGGCACTCTTTTTCTTCATTTATCATACCAATCCTCTTCCAATCATTGGTCAGGACACTGTTGTACTTATCTTGCCAGTGTCTCATCCACCTAATGATGTACTTCTCACATGACTTGAAGTCCGGTTGTGTAACCTTTTTGAGGTTGAAGCAGATAAACCTCTCCCACTTTACTGTCTTGTGTGCAAACTTAGCTTACCGATTCGTGGACCGGAAGCGGGAGCGAGAGCGTGAGAGCGTTTATTCATGAAGAATTGTAAGTTCAGAGCGCCGGTAGAGCGTTAATATTATATTATTTTAATTAAAATATTATTTAAACAATATCATACATTCGGAAAAATGAGACCAACTGAAAATCCTACGTCAAATAAGAAGCATCCCAATTCAATGGTTAATGCCTTTAATTACCTATAAGTAAAAGATGAAACCAAACTAAAGACTAGCTAAGCACAGCCCATGGAAATTTTTCAGATAAGAAAACAAGGCCTAACTAAGGGTACCGATTGAGCCCAACTTGGCTGTCTCAAAATTGCAAACCCTAAACGATCTACTGCCATCTAAATTCAAGCCGTCGACTGCTCTCTTCTTCTTCTTCTTCTTCTCCCTCATGTCACTTCAAAGTTGCGGACTGCTCTCTTCTTCCTCATGTCACCAATACCCTCATCTCGCGACCCCTTTCTACACACACTCCTTCCCATCGACGAATCCCCCATTTCTCCCTGCAACCTTCTGATCTTCAAAACCCGGACGAGATTCCAACATGCAGTGTGTGAAATCCTTGATCTATACTGCAATTTCTTGTTCCGACAAGAAGTCATCCAACCAAATTTCAAAATCTCTTCCAATTAATTGATTCTCTTCTAAATGCAGAGACTTCGACATCTTTTCGGCTTACTCCATCAACCAGCCAACGATCCCATCCCCTTCAGCAAACCGGTTGTCTTCACCATCGACTCTTTCTCTTCTGCTATGTTCCTCTTAATTAAATTGATGATTTTTTTTGGAAATTCGCGCTCCAACAAATAAAAAATCGCGAATTTTATACGAATTTGCTCAAATTCGCATTTTGCCGCTCCAAAGCGGGAGCGTCGACCCCTGTTGAGCGAATTGTGTGACCTAAGTGCAAACTGTGTCTTCATGTAGTTGATTGCGTACTGGACAACCCTCTCTGCCATTTTTTTGTAGTTTTGTTCAATACTTATGTGACGGAGACTGTCGAGCACTTCAAACCTTTCTCCTTTGACGTTCACACAAGTCATGATGTAGTGTTTGTTATCACAATAAGGGAAGAACCACTGCAAAAGAATTTATAACTGATTAGAAGAAGTTTACATGGTAAGCACTAAAAGTATATCTTGCCACATGCTATGATATAATATTGTGTTGAGATACTTACAAGGTTACATTCTGTGAAGCTGAGGTTTCTTGCCCATTCTTTAATGTCCAAGTCCACTTTGTTGTAGTAATCGTCTGGAGTTCGTGGAGGATTGTCACTATGAATGTCCAGTTGGCAGTCACCCTGAAAGTCGTGGTTGTTATTTTGTGTTTTATATATGGGTTTTTAAGAACTATTAACAGAATATCGGTGGGTTTACTTACTGCCAAAGATCCAACGAAGAACCACCTTTCGAATTTTCCTTTTTTTGCTTCATTCCTGTTCATTCGATCTCCATACCAGTCGATGACATCAGCTGTGATTTCACAGTCAATGTCAATCGACTGTAATGACTCCCTTTTCAGTAAGAATGTTGCATCCTTCCTCCTAAACATTATCTCTTCACTGTATAAAAGCACATCACAACGGGACTTATGGTTTACTCCATTTTGTAACATCAAACCATAGCTTACCACAACAAACCGTAGCTTACCACATCTTACCATATGGTAATAAACCAAAACAAAACAGGACTTGTGGATTACTCCATTTTATTACATTAAACCATAGATATATCTAATCTTACCATATGGTAATAAACCAAAACACAGCAGGAGTTATGGTTTACTCCATTCTATAACATAAACCATATCTTACCACATCTTACCATATGGTATTAAACCAAAATAAAACAGGACTTGTGGATTACTCCATTTTATAACATTAAACCATAGATTATCACATCTTACCATATGGTAATAAACCAAAATACAATAGGACTTATGTTTTACTCCATTCTACCATATCTTACCATATGGTAACAAACTAGATCACCACAGTATTTATGGTTTCCTCATTTTTGTAACATCATATAACATCATGTAATTGTGATATTCTACTTATCGGATATTCTGGATTACCATAGAATACATTTGAAGTTTTAAGATGATGACTTACCTGTTCACAACTTTCTTGTTTTTGCATCTTATGTACTCCAGGATGTTGCTGAACAGGTCATCAGGTGTTGTCATTGTTGCAATTGGTACCGCATTCATGACACCATCCTTTATTTCAACTGGTGCACTTTGTGATTGTGGAGCAATTTGGTTTTACAGTTGGTGTATTCAGGTCCTCGAGGTAAGCATTTATGCATTCATGTACTTCCTTGATATTCTCTTGACTACTTGTGTATAGATTTTACCATGCTATATATGATTCCTTTTGTGACTGGGTGCTTTGTGGCTTTGTTGGTGGCGTTATTCTTCTTGCCTTCTTTTCATTTCCAGTCACATTCTTCACCAGGATTCTTCTTTTGCGAGGCTCTTCTGGTTGATTGGTTATCGTGGTGGTAGTCAACTTTACTGTTGTTGCTGTTGGTGGTGGTGGTGTTTGATGGTTGAGAGGGCTGAGATCGAAGGATGGAATGTCGTCTTCCCCCTTGTCAGTTTAGTCTTCTTAGTAGCCTTGGTTGGCAGTTTCAGAGTCTCTTCTCGAACAACATCATTTGACTGTGTTTTCTTGCTATCACTTTCTGCAGCCTTTCTTTGCAGTTTGACCTTGTTTCTCTTCTTGTGGTGTTTCCTTATGAAGATCCATTGGAGTTGTTGTTTCTCTAGCTCCTTCTTCTCATGTTTCTTTTGCCGGTGTCTTTTCTAGAACTCCTTTTGGGGTGTTTTCCGGATCCGGAACTTCTTGAACAGATTGTACTGGTGCTTCTGTTGCAACTGTCACCAGTGGAACTCCTTCTTGGTTGCTTTCCATATTCACACCTTTTGGAGCAGATTTTGGTTGTTCTTCTCTTTCAGCTGGTTTTTCTAGAACTTCTTTGGTGGTTCCTTGGCTTGAAGTTTCTGGAACAAATTTTGACGATACATCTACTTCAATACCAGAATCATCTTGCTCCTTTTCTTTTGGCTTTGGTGTTGGTGCAGCAAGATTGACTGTAGTTGGTTGTGAATCATCTTCTTGTTGTGTTCCCTCCTTGTTCCTTATTTGGTTCTTGTCTAGCTTTGCCTCTTTGAATATTGTCTTCAGGGTTTTATCCAAAATGGCATTGATTTCTTCATCGTTCTCTTCTTCATCATCTTCACACTCACTGTCTCTTCCTACAACCTCATTGTCAGATTTTTCTCCTTCCGTGGGCTGAACATATTCATCAAAGCTTTCTTTCTGAAGATTCTCTTTGTGTTTGAGCATCTTATCAAGTTGGGTGTTGTACTGCTCTTTGATTGCTTTCATCATTGCCTTCATCGATGCTTCAACCAGTTTGATTGCATTCTCAGCCTACATAATGGGATTTTAGTTTTGTAAGATACCATGGTGGTAATGTGTGTATGGTATATAATTAGTTACCATGGTGGTAATACATGGTATTGGCAATTATTATCATTATGTTACAATTTATTAGCATGAATTGGGCAACTGGAATATATATAATTTGTACTTACTTGGTTGACTGTTTTGATATTCTTCAAATTAAAGTTTAGTGAGGATGACTAGTCTAGAGTTTTGGTTCTTTGTCTTTTTGGTCATTGATGGACTGGCTCATTCTCATGATCCTCAATAGTTGTATCATCAGCCTCGTCAACAACATTGTTGGCAAGATTTTCTAGCTGGGTCAACTCTTTTCCATTGTAGTGGCTCTTGATTTTCTCAAAGTTGCTTTGGAAATTGAGATCATCATAGTAGCTTATTGTTGAGATCATCATAGTAGATCAATCCCAACATGTATATCCCA